CGTTTCTGAATCGTGAGACCCAAAAAACCGTGCACTTCCTACTTTGTGGGGAAATTCACATGATGAAAGTGATAAATTGATATAAAGAGATGTGAACATACAAATATATCAACAGTTACACACACACACACTGCGTGTTTTATTATGGTTGTTGGCCATATATCGAGGTTCGATTCTCTGGCCTTGATGGCCGGCTCGGGGTCCAAGTGCTCCAAGACCTTCCAAGGAGTGAAGCTCACTGCTTACCTGCTTCACTGCTTGCAGTTCATGCAGACTGGTGTTTTTTAACAGACTGATCAGGTTAATAGACGTGTTTCAGTGGTTTATTAAGTTCACCTAAGTGTAGACTGATCAGGTTCCACTCTTGAGGATCAGGAAAAAGAAAGGTCTAGGACCTTGACTCGCCTGGCGCATGTCGCTGAGGGAGCTCTTCTCATCAATCGTCTCGGCTAAGACGTTCAGCAACCGCTGGATGCTGGGGTCCTGTGTCCAGCCCGTGAATCGGTCGCCGCGGTCGCCGTGTTGAGGCCATTCGAAAGGAAAACGTCCAACCCACTCCCAATCGGTTGAGCTAGGACCCGGTTGGACCCTGTTCCACTCATCCCACCGCGGCAGCCCGCCACCCCACGGGTTCCTCAGCCCTCTTCACGCAGGCGCGTAGGCAGCCTCGAAGCTCTGCCTGGAGAGTGAGTAGGTGGCAAATATCCTGTCGACCCAACCAACCCAACATTCAAACACCAAGCCAGCTGCGTCTTACGCGCAAGAACACAACCAAATAACCGTTGAATAACCCTCCGCACCTTCCCCAAACCAATCGGTCAATAGCTTCTGGAACTTCTGGATGCCCAAAGATGTTTCTTAGGAAACTAACATGCTCTTCCCGAGCACCTTCATCTCCTTTCTCCTCCCAGACTGTTTGTTTGAGCTAAAGGTTTTTGAACCAATCCATTTGCCGTGGAACCCTCGAAACTCTGCACCATCAGCTTCACGGCCGGTGCCCTCCCCTAGATCCCCCGGCGATGTGGGAGATCACACGCTCCACCACTCGCTCCTGCAGAACGGTCCGACGTCCGGCACCTTCCACATGCCAGAACCCATCGCTCGTTGTCGCTATGCTCGTTTTTTGAGCTGAATGAAGAGCTGGGTCTCAAAAGATGAAGTAGGGAGCATCCAGGTCAAATGTAGGGAGAATCGAGAATCGACTTGAAGCTGAAACCGGGTCAGGACCAAGTCCCTCCTCAGGGTCCCCAACCAAAACCTGGCGTGGATCCGCATTTTGCGCAGTTTCTTTTTCTCAAGTGTCACAGACGCGTGAGAAAATGGGATTGGGATTCTTAGTCGCGGTGATCACAAAAGAAAGGCACCTAGGGAGCCGCGCCGGTTCAAAGTGCCACCGCGGAATCCGCCGCTCTCTTGGCCGCAAATCGTATGTCTGCGGAGGTGGACGGGGCTCTTTCTATGCGGCCGCCACCGCCCCAGCCAGTAAGGACACGCACAAGTGAAGTTCATAATCATGGATGCACCTTTCTTATTGCCAATGTGCGGGTCAAGAAAGCCATGTTCCGTTTCAGCCCCAGCAGGGAAAAGAGAACCGAAGGCCACAAATAGAATCTGGTGGCCTTCTTGGAATCGGGGCCAGACCTGTGGGGATGTCCTTCTGTGTTCCACCCAACTTCTTCAGCTGGGGTCATCGTGGCGGGCACCACGGCACCCACGGCTCTTTGCCGCTCGCACCGCTCACCGCAAGGCCGGGTTATAGTCCCCACGGATCTGATGCTCGATGCTGCCTGGGGCGAGCGCGGAGCCCGGCGCGGAGCCCGGCTCCAAGTGGATGAGCATTGATCTGCAGCCAGAGATACGGCTTGTCAGGTTTGTCTGACTGGAGATAGAAACGTTTTTTCGCGGGTGATACCGCACAAAATGAAACTTGAGACTTCAGCGGAATAATTGACCTCCAAAAGCTTTGTGGTCACACCCGGTCTTAGTTCTTCAAACCTCTTCACAGTGCGCGCCCCCACTTATTATGTATTCCAAACACCAGGATTCCAAAGGCAAGGAAAAATCGACAAAAAAAAGAAACAGCATGATCATTGTCTTGATATGTGTTGACCTTTGGGCATCCACCAGGACCCCTCCTGACCCCTCCTTTCGAGCGAACGAGTCGCAGCCATACGCCAGCTGCACGATGGTGCTGCTGCCGCCGCAGCTCTGGGGCCAAGCGATCACCGAGGCCTTGGAGGGGCGCCAATTGAGAGAACATGAATCTTCCAATGGACCAGGAGACATGGTACCAGGACCAGGGCCATCTTCTTGAGAGACATGACCACCATGGGGTCCCCTCGTCCATTGCCAGGACCATCCTGTCTCAGTGTCCTGGCTGGACTACCCTGCACCATGTAGGGATCTCCATTGGACACCCAGACAGGATCGTCCAGGTACTCATAATCAAGATGGATTATTCCATCTGGTAGTCATTGGGTATCATGAACTACTCCATCTGGTAGTCAATCCATCCACCGGTGCCGATGAGGGCATCCACTCACTGGATGGGACGAGCCACACCACCCAGACTCCTGGAGTTTGAATAAATCGGTTCAGTCCTCGAATCGGGAGAACATCCAATAAGACCGACTCCTTCCGATGGATGTACTGTCCTGAGGAGAAAATCCCAAGAAAAACCCTCCAAAAGAAGGGGCTAAAAGCACCAAAAGCACATCCCTTGCACCGTAGGAAAACAGACCACACTCTGGTCTCTTGTGTCTCCACCGTCTCCTCCACGCCGCTGGCCGAACGAGGTGTTGGCGAGTTGCATGTCGCAGGCCACCCCCACCCATGGCAGTGCTGAACACGGCAGGGAAGCCACTCTTGAAGATGGCCTGTGGAGTGGGTGGGCTCGACCCATAGCCGATAGCCCGTGAGTTGGAACAAGTTTGGAGCAAGTGGCCGGATCACTTGGAACATCTTCGAACCATTTTTGAGACCTCTAGAGGCTCAACAACGGTTGTCTATGGCCTATGCCAGAACTCCATCTTAGAAGCCCCAGAAACTCACCTGTTCCAACATCCTACTTCACAGCTCCAGTAGAGTTGGTGCCGGCGGGTCCTTTGGGCCTTCCCTCTTAGGGTCGCTCAACCTCTAAACAGGGAGCATCCGCTTAGAAGTCGTGTCCTCCCCTTACGCGCTCCGGCCACTCAGCCGCTCTATCACGCCGCCTTGCCGTGGCAGGGCAGCCCTCCCGAATGCCAGCCACTCCTGAGACGGTGACCCCGCCAGTTTGAAAGGGTTGTGGGAGTCCCAGCTAATCCACTTCCTGGATGGCCATAACCGTTCCACTTGGAATTGGTCGGAGAATGCTGGATGTGCTTTGCTAGGCAGCGGCTGCGACTTCACTTTAAGGGTGTTATCCTTTCAAACGCCGCTTGTGTATAGTTTGGGCGGTTGACACAGCCCCCTATGATCTCCTTAGATTCTAGTTTCTCAGTAGACAGGATTAGGCTGGAGGCACATTCACGAGGCCATCTGGTTGGGCCAATGGCCTGTCAACGTGCTGCAGGTTGGGCAGTCTCGCCTTCTAAACAAGCGTTTTACAATGTCAAAACCGTTCCAGCTCGCGGTGATCGACTCGGACCTTCTGGGTTTGTTTCAGCACTTGGCTCAATTGGTTCAAGGTCAGAACCGGTAATTCAGACGAACACAGAACATACGCAAATCTACTGAATATGCTGAGTTGTACTGACATGTGGCTTTATCATGGTTTGTTTGGTTAAAAGCTGTTAAAAGCTTTCAACCCACTGCACCATGAATTTGTGAGGTCAGACAAGCAGGGAGACAAGGAGGGAAGACAAGTGAAGCAACAAGGCAGACAAGCAGGGGACAAGTGGAGGCGAGTGTAAACAAGAAGGGAGACAAAATCAGAAAGACCACGTGGAAGACAAGTGTAAATTCATCCGGCCGAGGGTGCAGGGAGACAAGCAAAGAGACAAGTGGAGACCAGTGCATCCGGCTGAGAGCCTGTGGCCAAGAGTGTCTAAGCTAGAGACTACAGTAGCAAGAGACAACTCCAGCCAAGTGTGTCCAGAGTAGTCTGAGGCAAGTGGAGACAAGTGTAACAAGAAGGGAGACAAGTGCAAGACAAGTGTAAAGTCATTTGGCCAAGAGTGTCTAAGCATGGAGCAGGCGAAAGGGCAAGCGGAGACAATCCGGCCAGCCATGTGTATTCAGAGTAGGCCAAGACAAGTGGGAGACAAGTGGAGACAAGTGCAACAAGAAGGGAGGCAAGCAGGGAGACGAGAGGAGACAGGTGTAAAAACATCCGGCCAAGTGTATCCAGAGTAGGCAGAGGAAACATCAGCTTGTTTTGGGGCATGCAGCATACTTTCTCATGTCCACAAAAGGTCTGAAGTTCAGAGGTGGGTGATGAATGATAGAATCAATATAGAAATGAGGATGGTAATCACACTCAAACTCTGGCTCAGTTTGGAAAATGGCTGAGCGAGTGGGAGACAAGTGTAAAAATCATGCGGCCAAGTGCGCTGGAGACGAGTGGGAGACAATCGTAAAATCATGCGGCCAAAGCACCCACAAAGAACTGGAGACAGCGGGAGACAAATGGGAGACAAGTGAAAAAATCATGCGGCCAAAGCACCCACAGGAGACAGGAGACAGTGGGGAACAAGTGGGAGACAAATGGGAGACAAGTGTAAAATCATGCGGCCACAGCAATTACAGTGTGGCAGGAACGCAAGCCCGGAGACAAATGTAAAATCATGCGGCCCGGTATCGGTGTGATACTGGCAGCTTCAACAAGAGGCGAAACGGTCGCCAGCCGAAGGGGAAGTAAACCAAGGTGGTGACAATCACAAAGTATGCTCTGCTAGCGCTCTGCCTTTTTCCAAGCACCTCACGTGCTCCAGGAAGTTCGAAAGTCGGACTCCTCTGTGGCGTCTATGGCGGACAGTAGCTAGTCGCTTGAAAAGACAAGCGTGGCAAAAGGGCACCCTTCAAATGGCAGCGGTATGCAACGACGGCGAATGATTGCAGGTGGAGTCATGATTCAAATGGCTAAACCAAACAGAATCACATGGGCGAAAGGTTTTCGCCGAAGTGGCCTGCCGCCGCTGGAAGGTGTGCCAAGACTCATCTTCGATGAGTTCAGGCTCAGGCTCTTGACTCTCAGGATTCAGGCGGCGCTTCTTCTTGGCCGCTACGAAGCCCGGGTCATACTTCACGTTCCAAAGCTGGCCCTTCATCATGAAGGTCTTCATCAAATCAGCAGCACTGGCCTTAGTCAGGCCGTCAGCCAGTTGGGCGTCGGACGACACCCAGAGCAGGCGGGCGTTCGCCTTGGTCATGTTCTCCCGGATGGAGAGGAGTTCAAGCGCGCTGTACTTCTCCTTCATCGAGAAAGCAGCGCTAGCGCCATCGCCCTGGTGGTAGGCGTCGTAGGCACTTTTGGCATCAATGACCACGGCAGCTTCGACCTTGGCAATGGTGCGCTCAGGTCGCGTCAAGTCCATGGAGTGGCCAAGTAGTTCTGCCCATAGTGCTCGGCAGAACATCAACTCTTGTTCTCCTTCACCCATGGCCTGGAGTTCAGCCGCAAGTGAGCTGCGTGCTGTCCTGTGGAGTTTTCCACTTCTCCACGCCACCATGTTGACGGGAGAGCGGATGCCGTCCAGGATCTGCTTGTGGCATAAGCCCACCACATATCCTCCAGTTGAGGCCAGGTCTGGACGGTTTGCGACTGCTGCATCAGTCCAGGCGATCATCACCAAATCTTCATCTTTCACAGCCTCCAGCTGTTGAACTCTCACAGACAGGTGCTTTTGGGCACACACCTCTCTGACCAGTTTGTTGATCTGGTGGAGGATCTCCTTGGAGTGTTTGCTGCAAGGAAGCTGTGACTGAAGGAGGGACAGTCGTGAGGCATGTTGTGGCGCCGTCTGACTCACTCTCCACTGTATTGAGCCCAGCACGGCTCGAGCTTGAGAAAGCTCTTGAGGCGTCACCTCGGAGGAGTGCTTGTCCACATCGATCTGCTTGATCTGAGCTGCATACTGGGAGTGGTCAAAGCTGAAGCTGTAGTTAGCCTGCTGGTGCACTTCAATGCCGCAGTGCAGGTAGGGATCTGACTCCCAAGGACTCCAGCTCAGTGCGCCATGGAACTTGGTCAAGGTGTCATACCACAGCTCGCTGTTTTCATTGCCAGTCACGATAAAATCGTCAACGTGACTTGCTATGGCACCTTGGACATTGCCATCTTTGTCCTTGCATACCCAAATGCAGGGTTCACAGGTGAGGCGCTGCATGCCACATGTCTGGGTTGCAATCTTCTCCACATCACGGTACCACTCTCTAGGGGCATTGACTAGCCCATAAGCTGCCCGGAGTAGGCGAACTGCTTCTTGAGGACCACATTGCATCTTCTCGCCCAGCTCTTGCACTGGTTGTGCGAACACGCTCCGAGATCGTTGGCTTTCAGAGCCCTGGAGAAAAGCCGCACGAGCGTCAGCCTTGAGGGTCCGCCATCGGCGATGGCATGCCAAGTTGAGCAGGAGCATCTTGCCACGTCGTGACAGTGTTGGTGCCGCTTTGTCAAGGTACTCTTGGTCAGGGTCAGAAAAACCCAAAATGACGATTCGGGCTTTCGCCTTGACTTTGTTGGGCTGGTTCGGGTCGTCCACAGCCTTGAAAACCAAGACCCATCTCATCTTCATGAGCCTTGACTTCGGTACGTCAGCTCCAGCGCGTTCACACACGCGATTGGCCACCCAGGAATTCACCTCCAAGTCCTTTGCCTCTTTCATGGCTTGCCTTTGAACTGAATTCAGTTTATGCCAGGCAACTTCACATCCCTTCTTCACTTCTTTGGAGGTGTATTTCTTGGGATCTTTCAAGATGCTTCGCCATTCTTCTTCATTGGCTGGGGCATCGATCGTCACGGCCAGGACAAAGTCATTGGCAGGCTGTGAGCACCATCCCACCAAGTCTGGATTCTTGTACTTCTTGGGGAATTTGGCATGGTGAGGACGATCATCTTGCTCATGGCGTTTTCGCTGCTGCCGGAACTCGACATCATCAGATCCTCTTGCCTCTTTCACATCTGGTGGGACAACGGGATGTAGAGGCATGTAGGTCGGATCAGAAAGCAGCCGTTCGATGTCTAGGTCATCAGAGTCATCAGGGTGCATTCCTTCTTTCAAAGTGGGATCCATATGCACCTCATCGGGAAGAAGCTCTTCAGAGGATGAGCTCATTGCATCATCTTGTACTTCATCTTCTTCTTGTTGCTTCTGGCGTTTTCTCTCTGGTACCGGTGGGCGAAAGGTTTGTCTTCTCTTGGCTTCGAATCTTTCGGCCTTGGAGGAGGTGAGATCTTCAAAAGCGCCCTTGGTGAGAGAGTTGCTCATCATGGAGAAGGTCCAAGGCATGGCCATTGTTCCTGAGGCGTTTGCTATCAGAAGCTCTCGTTCACTGCCATGTCGAACTTGATCACAGTGGGCCTTGAGAAGTCGGCCGCAGCTCACTAGCCACACCACGCTCGAAGGAGTGCGTGCTGTTCCGGTGTCATCAACCCGGGTTTCACAGGCTAGAACTCGAGCAGGTCCATACCATCGAGCAATGCGCATTCGAGGCACATCCACATCTTCGTTGGCCGGAGCTCGTCGAGGGACCTTGTACCTCTGGTAGAACACGATGTCTCCAGGGATGAACTGCTTTGCCGGTTTGCTCCGGCTGTTCCTGGCTCGGGAGATCCGAGCTTCAGCAGACAACTTGTTGTGGAGATGTTCAGCCTCAATGCGAAGTCTCAAGTTCTCGGCCATCTCATGACCAGGGATGCCTTCTGAGCTGGCTGCCGCGACGTTGATGGTCACATTTTCGGATCTGCCGAAGGCCCATTGTGCCGGCGCATATCCACCAACTCGAGTCACATGGTTGTGGGCTTGAGTCATCGCGAAGGCAGCTCTCTTGGGCTCGATGGGTTCATTGCGCAAGAACTTTTCCATCTTCCATCTCAACTCACCGATGGCCTTCTCAACAGCTCCTGTGGCTTGATGATGTTCAGCAGGAACGTGGATCATGTCTATGCCCCTCTCGCTGCACCACATGGCCAAATCAGTGCCACGAAAGGCACCTTCAGCATCGCACCTCAAGCGAGAGGGATAGCCAAAGATCTGGCTCCAGCTTTCTTCCAGGGTGGTGATTACCTCTGCGGTGGTGATGTTCTCGGACTCTTCAGCAGGATGAACCTTCACTTCTTTCACCACTGCAAAAGAACTAGCTTCATCCAACATCAAAAGAAAATGATGAACTTGCCCTCGATGCCGAAAGAAAAATGCATCCATCTGCAGCGTCTTCCAAATCACATCTTCCCTCTCCAATGATACCTTGACGGTCGGAGAGGCAGTTTTGCTTTCATGGCATTCCGGGCAGGCAAGTTGAAGTGCAGCCGCTTTCAACTCTTCAGAGGCTCCTCGAGCTCGGAGAAGCTTCAACAAAGCTCTGTTGTTGGGGTGGCCGCACAGTCGATGAAGTTTCAACACCGATTCCATGAGATGCTGAAGTTCTTGAGGTGTGAGCTTTTCCAAAACAGAAGGGTCAGGTTCAACTTCTTGGATGCCTCCGATGAGCTCGGAGGTCTGCAGCATTCCTCGGGCGGCTACCCAACACAGCTGTGGGGTGTAGTAGGCAGAGTTTCTGGCATTGGCGCCAAGGCATGGCACATGGTGGTGACTTCCATCACACTGCCGAGCAAGACCTTTTAGGGCGTGTTCTCGAGTCACCATGAAGCGCCAGGGTTTCTTCACTGGCCCGTCTGGTGAGGAGAGACCAAACATGCAGCCATCAGCCAGGATCTCATAGGCCTTGCCAGCCGTCTGAAGTGCATGCCAAAACTCTTGCACTTCTGGCAGTTTCCAGGCTTTGTTGAACCTGGGCCATTCCCACACGATTTCACCATCCATTCGTAGGTGTTCATGTAGTACTCGAAGTCCACCTCGAAGCACCTTTCTCGCATGTCTTTTCCTAAAGACACTTTTCTCTCTTCCTTCAGGCGTCCTTTCATTCAAGGCTTGAACTGCTGACGTGGGACCACAAGGAAAGCTGGCCCAAATCCAACGAGGACGATGAGCCTTGAGAAGTTCGAGGGCCTTTTCGACGCCTTCTTCTTTGGTGAGGTCACAGTTGTTGTGGAGTCCGATGCGACCTCCTCGTCCTCCAGCTTTCAAAACTTCTTCTGTAAGTTGGCTTTGAGGACCGCAGCAAAGTTCCATCACGTCCCATTGCTGCAAGGATGAGATGCCTCCATGAGCTTTGAAGATCATATCACTTTCTTCAACCAGCTCATTCATACTCTCCACCACCATCGCAAACTCCTTCTTCGGGAAGGGAGTCATAGTGCGATCTTCTCCGCCAGGTTCTCCATCATGTCGTCCCTCAGGAAGTGAATCTTCAAATGCTTCCTGTTCCTTAGTGCCGGAGGCATAGTCAGACTTGAACAAGTTCGGAGGGACCTTGACATTCGGTGGAGCTTGGGCATTCTTGAACATCCGTTCATTCTTGGGAACCTGGTCATTCGAATTCATGAAGGTGCCACCACGAAGAGCCAAGTCACCCTCGGAGTTCTCAGACATGTAGGGCTCTTCTGCACCTTCTCCACCGTCTACACCGAGCGAGCTTCTCCGCCCGGACTCATGACCGACCAGGAGCGGTTTGAGCGATCCTCGTACTCTGCTTCCTCGGGCGCTGTTTCTGATCGCCGGGATTTGCTCCCAGGAACCGTGCCAAGGGTCTCCACGTCGGTCGGACTTGCCACCTCGGTCGGACTCGGCTGAGTCTGGTTGGCGGGACTCTGAGGACTCGATGTGGCATTGGTGGTCGGCGTGAGGTTGCCATACCCTGCTGCGGCTTTGCGGGCTCGGACGCTGTCGAGCTTGGTCAGGAGGGAGCGTTCTGCACCTTCCAAGCCTATGGCTTGACTCTTCATCAGCGGGTTGTATGGTGCTTTCTCTCCCAATTCCTCGACTTGCTTCTTGGTGTCTTGAGGAATCGGCCCTGCTTGTCGGTGCAATCCTGTTGCCCCGAACGCCGGGGTGTAGCTCAAGCGTAGTTGACACCGTTGGCATCCGACCCAGCTGGCATGTCCATTGCTCCCTGTCACCGGGCCTTTGTAGGCTGGTGCCGGCTCGTGTTGGCCGTTGCACGGCGGGCCAAGGGTGCGAGGGTCCCTGGGGTCGCTCAGGACCGTGCGAGAAGTGTCGTACTTCTCGGTGAAGGCTTCCTTGGTTTTCGGACCCTTCTTCTCCTTTGGCGTGGAGCTCTGAGCCGAGCTCTTGGCCTTGGCCGGAGCTGCTTGGGACATGGCTTCCAAAGACAGCAGCAGTGGCGGCTAACAGCGTCAATGCCCTCCAGGACATCGAGGTCGAATCTTGAGCCTCAAAGTTGGCGAGATTCGCATCTTCAGTTGCTCTTGCCAAATCAGGAGGAGGTGGATGAAAACGAACTGCAAAACACTGACTCAAAAAATCTTCAGCTTCATGGCCGTGCAAACTCTGGTAAAAGCGCAACTCAGACTCACTCAAAAAGATGGAAACATCAGAAGTCGTGGACATGGGCATGGATGTGGTTGAAGTGGCATGTACATCACAATCTTCAAAAACATGATCTTCTCGAACCATGAAACACGACAACATCGACAGCGGCGAGGGCGAGTATTTCACAGAGGGTGAAGGTGCTGCAGTGTCACTTGCAAAAAGAATCTGGGTGCCCTCGCTGAGCCAATCATGACTTAGGTCCATCAGTAGATGGCCGGATGAGCTCTTTCGCAAAGGCACCAAAAGCGATGCATTGATGGCCGTGAGAACCATTGCACTTCGGCCAGTGTCGATCAAAGCACCAAGCTTTGCCAGAGTTCTGATCCCGACAAGCACGGGGACACCTTGTGCCTCCAAAGTAAAAATGCCGAGAGACAGCTTCTTATCTCCAAGGCGCTGGGGCAGCAAGATCATGCTCTCAGACTTTTGAGTCATGCCATTTCCAAATTTGAACAGCTTGTTCGGGACATTGAGCACCTGGAAACCATCATGGTCCATTCCAGCTGCATGCCTCTTGTACATGATCCATTCCAATGCCGCCAGACCAGCGACAGTCTCAGTGGCCCCGGTGTCCAGGACTCCAAAGCCTTCAGTCTCAGGGTGGCTGATCATCGGCCGCCATGATCTCCAGTGGCCGCTCAGGATGAGAAAGAGGATGGCACACGAAGGTCTCCATGAGCTCTTCTTCTTCAGCCACCATGAACACTTTTCCTCCCTTGCCACCAGGACGAGATCGTCGGGGGCAGGAGCGATAGTCATGGTCTTTTGCTCCGCAAATGAAGCAACCCTGATAGCCTGGTGAACCAGGCTTGCCACCGCCTTGCACTGCCATCACCGAAGGGGATGATGAGGAGGTTGAGGAAGATGCAAAGCGAGTTCCAAAGCCTTTACCTTTTCCACCTTTCTTGCCAAACATGGATTTTCCTTTGAACTTGCCCTTGGGGAAGAAACCACGGGAAGCATTCTTTGCTGCAGATGCTCTGCGGCTTTCTTGGAAGGAGCGCATCTTCTCCTCATAGGCTGCAAAGGCTTCCACGATGGGCTTGGATTCTTCAGGCGTGCTCCAGAGCACATCATTCCAAACATCGGCCTCAGACCATGACCAAAACGTGCCATGGGAGTCACAGTGGTAGTACTCGCCGTCGGCCTCAAGGTTCCACCACAGGTATGCTCCAGGATTCGAGGGGTCAGCTCCCCAGAATCCATCATCACTCATAAACGTCTCTTCAACTGCCGGCGGTGGTGCCGAAGGAGTCTCCCAGGAAGTGGTCTGAAAGACTTGGTCTTGTGGTAGTCCTCCCAGCCAGTGGATGTCACCTTCCAGGAGGTCTTCATCATCACACTCAGAGGTGAGCAGCAAGCCCCACTCACCTTGGTGTTCCACCCAGAACGAAGGGCGATGCTTGGATTTGCCAGACCCTTTTGGTCTTCCTTCTCTCTCCTTTTCCACAAGACGAAGTTCGTCCTCAGCTCCTCGCAAGCCCTTCTCGATGTCATCGGCCTTGAGGGAGTTTCCTATGCTGGAGAGAACGTTGAGACGTTGAGCAGCATTCAAAGATGACTTCCGCAGCATGATCCAACCTAGCAACTCACTAGGCAGGACCTCAGGCAAACCAGTGTCCAGGTCCTCCCAAAAGTTGTCGTTTTGTTCATCTTCACTGTCGGAAGGATCAGAGCGAGATCCACGAGAGGGAGAGCGAAGGTCATCTCCTTTGCCTTTCGACTTGCCACCCTTGGAGGAGGATGGCCTGGTAGGTGAACGAGGTTCAGCTTCTTCTTCATCAGCACGTTGTGCTTCTTCTTCTTCTGTTCCTTCTTCGGCTGCAGGCTCCGGACTGGAGCGGGGTTTCGAGGAAGCTTGCGACGGAGCTCCACCAGGCTTGAACTCCACCGCATCTCCTCGAGCACGGCGAAGTGCTCTCTGCAGCTTTCTATACTGCTCTCTCACCTGCGCACACCAGGTCGCCATTGAAGTTCCTGGTACTCGTCGAAGGCGAAGAAGTAGTGCTTCTGCTTGAGATCCCGCATCCGGGATTGGAACGCGGGCGAGGCGCTCCTCAAGGAACGTGATCAGGTAGCGGGCTCCATTGGGTTGTGTCAATGCCTTGTAGTCGATCTCTTGGGTGACAACCCATGCCCTGCCCGACAGTTGGGACACTAAGTCGGGTCCTAGCTGTGCCCGCCTGCGACGACGGGTCTTCTCGAAAGCCAGCCGGACTTTCCTCACGTAGTCCGGCCATGTAGCAAAGTCTCCATCCCAATGGCACCTCAAAGAGGTGTCCTTGTCCTTCTCGGTCATGGCCTCCTGGCCCAAGAAATACTCAGAAGCGAGGAAGGAAAGCAGGATGAAGGGAGAGTCAACTCAAAAGCAAAATGCTCGCGAGCCCAAACCAGATTGCCGAGGGAATCCTCAATGACTCGTGCACTGAAACAAGCCCCTTTCAGCAACCAAAAGAAAGAAGTACCAGCCACCGTTGCCCTGGATCTCAAAACTCGTGCACCTCAGGTGGAGAACTCCGGATGGTTCCTCTCGTCCTCCACGCCAGCGCGAGCCTTGCCGGCTCCGCTACCAGTATCGGTGTGATACTGGCAGCTTCAACAAGAGGCGAAACGGTCGCCAGCCGAAGGGGAAGTAAACCAAGGTGGTGACAATCACAAAGTATGCTCTGCTAGCGCTCTGCCTTTTTCCAAGCACCTCACGTGCTCCAGGAAGTTCGAAAGTCGGACTCCTCTGTGGCGTCTATGGCGGACAGTAGCTAGTCGCTTGAAAAGACAAGCGTGGCAAAAGGGCACCCTTCAAATGGCAGCGGTATGCAACGACGGCGAATGATTGCAGGTGGAGTCATGATTCAAATGGCTAAACCAAACAGAATCACACCCGGTCATGCACCCCTTTCAAAGGAGTAAGAACCCCTCAGGTAAACCTGTTTGGGGGACTATGAGTCCCAAGGACCACCCGATCTTCCAATCTCAAGTACCAAAGGGACCTGGGGCTTGGCTTGAAACTATAGGAAGACTTCCGGGCTCTCGCCCCTGGCGCCAGGGTAGACTGGTCTAGTGTCGTTGCTGGGCTCCACAGATCAGAAGAATGGGCACCTCGCCGTCTCGTCCCCACACGGAAAAGCAGCCATTCCACTACTGATGTGCAAAAGTCTCTTGAAAACCCACTCAAGCCCCCACAAAAAAGAGAAGAATATATATACAGCCATCTCATCACTTTCATCACCTTCATCACTTTCATCCCACCATCCCATCCCACTGTCCACACACGCTTCAAAACAAACACCCACCCGCACGGTCCAGCGCATCGGCCCAAGGCACTTGCCGCAGACCCGATCCTCTAAGCGACGCTTCAGGTTGGCGCCGTAGCCTCGCCGACCCGCGGCCGACGACCGCGGCCACCGACGGAGCCCCCAGGTCTGGTCGACCTTCGCTCGCCCAGAAGGGACCTGCGCTCGTTTGAGACCCATGCCCCCATCGGTGAAGGTCCGGTCCTGGCTTTTGGGGTCTTTTTGGTTTTGGGGACCTCAGGCTCCACCCAGTTGAACAAAAAAGAACTGCGAACGAGCCCTGAAAATTCGGACAAAATCCTCTGGGCTCAATCAAAGTCTTGGGCTCCACGCCAGCATAGTGGACGAAGTGGATGTGGAACTGGTTGATGGAGCCTTCGGTTTGGGTCACATGCAGCGACGCTTAGTGGTGACCAAATTACTCCGATTCCATCTCATGGGAGAGAACCTGTAACTGGTGCTTTGCATGGGAGTGTTCTTGTTTGAAAGGATACATAAGATATCCAAGATATTGATATTTCCGCAAGGGGCTTGGCAGCTTTGCAGGGTTTGGTTCATGATGCTTTCATCGATCTGTTGGTCCGAACAAGATAGGACATGTGGATCACGTGGATTTTCAGGGGATGCAGGACTGAAACAAATCACCCGCGAGGCAAGGCTATATTATCCAAAAACATCCAAAAGTGATGGCTGGCCAACATCCCAGCAGTGTCCCACTGTTTCAGTCAATGGCACAAGATCCGGAAGCGCTTCAGTTCGCTTCAAACCATCCCGAACGGGAACATGACCTGCTTGAGAACTTGTCACGAGCATCCAAACCAACAAATGACCTGCTGGCTGCCAGGTGTTGCCGCAACGACCTTGAGGATAACACGCACTGTTTTGGTTGGGGGAGGTTGGGGGTCTCCTGTAAATTCAACCCAAATGCTATGCGTTGGGAGCCGATCACCATCTCACTTAGTCCCTCATCCAAGCTGCGATGCCCAGGAGGGTTCACGATGAGCGCGCAGCCTGAGCCACCGCAGCCTGAGATATTCGGAACGAATCGGCTTGGAAAGTGATTTCGTGCCTCGTCGGAACCATTTTTGGCCCCAACTTCTTGGATAAAAACCCACAGGAGTATCCAAGATAACAACATGTCACATATCCAAGAAAACCACAAAGGAATCCACGATTGGAATCTCAAAGCTTCCTGTAAGCTTCAGCTTCTTCTTCTCCTTCTCCTTCTCCTTCTCCTTCTCCTTCTCCTTCTCCTCCTCCTCCTTCTTCTTCTTCTTCTTCTTGTCCAATGACCAATTTGCTGGAGATGTTCCAGCGACGTGGTTCTGGGCAACGTCCCCGGAACGATGGATCCGCGGGGTCCCGGGTGGTTCTCCAAAGCTCCAGACATCTTCATAAGGAGGTATTTCTGTGGTTTTCAGGAATTTCCAGACCATCCTCATTGCTAGAATATGTTCCACATATGCTCCACACCATTGAACCTTCGAAGCCACCCCTGTGCTCGGCAAATATACTGGCATGAATAGCTGGACTGCAAGTTGGAACATGTTGGAAGCCCGGCTGACACGAAGATTTCACCATCTCTTCAAATGCCACTTGCGGGCGTCACGTGTGCTTGCATGCTACTAAACAGGTGGGGAATCTGCAGAATCCCCTTGTCATTGTCGAGCTTTGAAGACTCACCCCATCCTGTGAACCACTGAACAAACCCCTGCTCTCCAACCCAATCCACAACAGTAGACGCCGCAGCATACATGCCCGAGGGACGACCCTTGGCAGCATACATGCCCGAGTTGTAGTAGCCCACATTGCCACCATTGATGTCCTGGTGGTAGGACTCTCCAAGGTCTCTGGAAGAGCTGCAAAAACAAAGAGAATGCAAACCAGAACGCTGCGCAGCGTCCGCTCTTCGCATAGCTGCAGAATCCCCGAAAAAGAAAGATAAAACAAGTATTTTTCACCAGACCTGAAGAAGACGGCCGCATGCGGCCGCGCTTAGCTGGCACCACTTGTGGATTCTTCTATGGCGCAGAAGACTCTACGCATGTTTGAGTCATGCTCTTGCACTTGGCCTGAGCTTCACGACTCTCACCCTTGCATGGCATAGAGTTGAAGGACGTTGACACCCTGGTTCCACAACACCTGGCCAAAAGCTACAGACTTGCTAGCTAGCACACCAATAGCAGTGTTCCACAGTGTTCCCAGTGTCCATCACAGCTCTACCCACTATGTCTTCACCCTGGTCCTACTACCCTCGGATGGCCCCCCTGGCAGCCACCTCCACCTGGGCCGTTCAGGTTCGCGGCTCGGACCGCGCCTCCACGCCGCGTCCGGAGCCCCAAAGCTTGTCGCCACCGACGCCCCAACCTCAGCGACGACCAGCTCGGCGAGGCGCCACGACCGGTCGGTCTGCGTGACGAACGTCTACGGCCGAAGCGTTGGATTGAGAGAGAGTGGACCGGAGAAGGTGAGGATTGAGCTACCACTGACTAAAAAAGTACAAGGGGCCGAGGGGGCAAGCTAGCCCTCCAAAACATCCCGCCAACCTACACCTCTCATCACACCTCATCGCAGTCTGCCTGAGCCACCAAGCAGACCAACTGCACCAACCAAGCGGCCACCGCGCTTCTTCTTCACGCCTTTCTCCTCCTCACTGAAGAAGTCGTTGATGTGGTCCTCGTTGTCCTGGAAGTAGTAGGTCTCATTCTGCGGCTCCTCCCAGTTGTGGGGTCGTGAAGTAGGGCCTAGGGCGGCCTAGGGTCCCTTTTCGATGCGTTTTATTTGTTCATATTTGTCCGGAGCCACCAAGCGATCCCCCCAACAGTGGTGCGGGCGATCCATTTTCCCCACGTTCATGAGGACCAGGATCTCTCCTGAGTCCCTGGCTGGACTACCCAGCCCACATTGCACCATGGAGTCTGAAACATGGGCTTGTTGTGCATCGTTGAATCCCCAAAGGCCTTTGTTGACATGTTCCTCTCGATCCGACCTGCGTGTGGAAGCCTTCAGAGGCCAGTCTTTGGATCAAAAATGAACAAAAATGAACAATCCAACCGGAGAACGCAACAAACATCCTGCAGTCCTTGGCCCGCACTGTTCTTCCCACAGAAAACGCATGAAAATGCTGAGGATTCCAAAAAGCGTCACGAAACTCAAGGCATTCAATTTCATTTGGTCTGGGTGCATTGTACAACTTGCAGTTCTGCGACTCGACGCAGCATGCGTGCTGCCTACGATCTGCGCGTCACCCATCTTTGGTTCCGTTTCGTTTAATTCCTGTATATGTTCGATGACGACCGTCACACACCCGCAAGCAGCCGTATCGCCATATCGCCATATCCATAATTATCTATCATATCTGAGATCTTCGGCGCAAAACTCGTGTGTCTTTTTGGGGAGTGTGATGTGGGGATCCCTGGATGCTGATGGGGTCCGTGTCTTTTCGAGTTGCTGAGCCACCTTTCGTTTCATTCGTCCTCAGCGGTCTCTGGTGGCGTTCCTTTCGTCCCAATCTCCATCCCCCCCGCACTCCATCTCGTCATCGGTGGAGTTCTCCGCCCGGGTTTGCAGGGCGTTCAGAGCGCAGGTCCTCAGGGCGGCCAAGCGCAGGGGAGCCAGCAGCTCAGAGCGCCCATGGGGAGGGGAACCGAGGAGCCTCCACAAGTTCTGCACGGATGAAAAGGTGTCTCATGGCTTTTCAACATCAAAACCAGTCCGTTGTTTGGGGTTCATGGCACCGGACTCCCTTTCCCGAACCCAAAAAAGTGGGGATGGTCTGATCTCATTGGAGCAGGCGTTTGGGTGAGGGTCTTGACTACCGGCATCTCCCGGCCAGCCAGCCAAACCAAAGCCCTTACAACTGTCCCCAGCACTCGCGCCCTAGCACAGGACTCGCGGATTCTCATCGCCGCGCAACACGGACGACAGGCGCCCGACTTCGGTAGCTAAGGCCGCTAAGGATCTCATCCTGACAATCGTCATCCAGGTCCTCATTTCAGATTTCACCACTCCGACTCCGTCTGGGTTTTTTCCCCAACCCCGCTCTCGGTGGGTTTTTTGGCGCTCTTGAGCGGTTCCCGGAGGATGAGATGGACCCTGAGCGTCGTTGGGCAGGCCTAGGGGCCTGGGTGCTTCCAACTCTCAGCACTGGTCATTTCCATCTTGCTCAAAGTACGAACGTACCAAGCAGTTGGGGTCGAATTCTGAAAAGGCTCCGACCCGAGGAACGGCCGAATGCTGTTTCTCCCAGAGCAGAAGGCCACCAGGAAGGGAGGGAGTCTTTCTCTGTCCACTCAGCTCCGAAGAAAAAAAAGAAAACATTGATTGTGGTTTGAAAAGGTTTCGTGTTTTTTTAATGGTCACAACAACTTGGATCTGTTTCCATCTGCTGGAAAGGCTATCCCACTCAATCATGGCTCCCGTTTGCTCAACGAATCATGGAACAGATGTCGGGACCATGACCGACCACACAGACCATGACCAAAGCTGCTTGACCAAACGTGAGAAGAACGTCGAACAGAACGTAGAAAAAACACATCATGATCTGACTGGTGCTTAGTAGGGAATGAGGGAATGGATCCAATAGAATCTCTATTGGGGGCTCATTCCCTTATTCCCTACTAAGCACCAGTCAGTGATTGTTCCGTGTTGCTTGGAGTTCTCGTTGGGATCTTCGTTTCTGAGTCAATCAGCTCTTTGAGCCGTGCTGCAAAGGCCGCATGAAGCTCCTCTGCTGCTGCCATCGCCCCGACAGTGATGAGCAAGAACCGAAGCATTCCGGACACGAGGTGGGGCAGCACAGGAAAAAAAGGCGAGGAGCACGCTGTTTGATCTGAGATGACTGCATCAACCGCATGGACTCGGCAGACGGACGAACGAACGGCGCGGGGTGGTCGCTGGCCGGGGTGGTCGGTGCTGTTCTGTGACTCGGCACAATCGATCTGTTCGTGCTGTTCTGTGCGGCTTTACTTGTGGTTCCCTGGTTTTCAAGGTCAGTTCCACTTCTGCAACAGGAGGTTTCTTGCAGATTCATGTTAAATGATGTTTGTGCGACTTAGGTGCAGGTCCGATCCATGCTTTGTTTATGATCCTGGAAAAGTGGTATGCCTTAAAATCACAGCCTTTGAGAGTCACTGCACCCCACCTGGAAAATGGTCAGAAGCCTCGAAGCACTGTTCTGTAACACACGGCACGTGTCTGATCTTTGCATGATAAGTGTATGGGCACTTAATAACATTTACTAACTCTTGTCTGAAAGGTGTATGGCCTGATCATGCCGCCTTTCGAGGGTCATACAAACAAACGTTATATAAGCAATATGTCAAAGACACAAAATACATACAGTACTAATGGAAAAGTCGCGCCTGGCTCATACCACTTCTACAAAACAAAAAAATACTGTACATCAAAACCATTTTGAAAAAAAGAAACAAGAAAAACTAGAATCATGGGTTTCTAGCCTCAGGCTGATAGTGGAAGTCACAACACTGAGGCCTACATAAGGTCACTTGAGAACCGCGACAGGGTCACTTCGAAAAACCGCGACATGGCGGACTCTTTATGGCTTTTGGTGCATGTGTCTTTCTTCACAAATGATGCGTGCGCCTGGCCCACACAATGTTGGAAATACTAGACTGACGCCCAGATCACAACATCCACAACATCCTCATCAGCAACATCACCATCAGAAAGAAAACACACATACTCCCCTGCAGAGGACCACATGGAACCCCAAAACCACTGGGTTGGTATTCGGAAAATGGTCGAAACCACTGGTCCATGCCATCAGGTTCTATGTGACTTTGCGGAGTCAAAAACCTCCCAAATGCCCCCCCACGCCCCACTCTCAAGCGCCAACGCGGTGCGGTGCCCTTTTTCGCCGCTACGCCGCCGCCGCGGCGGCCGGGAAGGCCACCACGTCCTGCGGACACTGAGACCCGGACCGGAGCGTGGGACGTTGGAGAAGCATGTGTCCCATGTCAAGCTTGAACGAAAACTCTCCGGTGATTGGACACACGCATTATTTTTGTTGAGCCGCGATGCCTGAGATTCTTCACGCAAGCTGCAAACTTGCAGCTGCAAAAGCCCTGCTTTTGTGGTTCTTTCTTCTCGAGATGTTCAGACCTGGACCAGACCCTCAAAAAGCGGAAGGCATCTCCTGTGGAAGGCCATCCGTGAGCATGCACGCGAACGGGCCTTCCAACGTCCACGCGCGGAATCGATGGGCGGGAGGTGGTCACCCGACGGACGGGATGACTCAAGACAGTCTGTCTCAGACTCCCAGGGTGTCGGGCGGGGACACCGTGGGGAAATCCTGTAGACAAGAAACAAGACTTCGGAAACCCTGAAGTTTCCGAAGTTGCAAGAAGTTGAGAGATTGGAGCCAATCCCAGGGTTGGTCCAGATTCCAGCCAGCGACGCGGGCGAACATCAAGGAAAGTTTCTGTATAGGACTTAGAGAATTTATATATGGTGAGAACTTAGAACACAAAAAGGGGAGGACATCTTGATCATGTGTTCTTGCCTCTTTCAGGGTCGGGGACAGGAATCTTGATCATGTCGCCTTCGACGCTTCGACATGTCTTCGTCGGTCCCCCAGCCTTCGATCAAGCCATGCACCATGATGGAGGCCTGATGAAAGGAAGTTCGAGCAGAACTGGTATATATAGACCCCCAAATAGATAGAAACAGTGTCCAATACATTTTTAGAGGGGATCTATACTATTTTACTATTATATCTATTTGGGGGTCTGAATATAGCCGGCTGGATTCAATCATGTGTGATATGTTTCCAGAAAATGAGATGAAATGACATTGCAAATCCTTGCCGAATACAAGTGGGTTGTTGTCAGTAGGTCAGTAGGGTTTGCAGTCAGACCTCAAGTTCTAGTCTTACATAGTACATCAGGTCCAAACAGAGCACTTCGATTGGGGTCCCACTGGTCCTCAGTTTCATCCTGCTCTGCTGTTCCAAACGCATTTCAATCGATGTTTGTTCCACCAGCAGCAAGGATCCCCATCCCCGCCAGCAAGGAGGAGGCGAAGACCATGAGCAAATGCGCCCAGAAGGAGAAGACGTTCAAGTCCACCGGCTCCTCAGTTCTGAGACTCTCTCAGCGGGCTCAGCGACCCCAAAAAGGACTCTTTGGGGCTTCGTGTGGGGCATGCAAATCAAGTTGAAGAGAAAGGGGTTGATTGTCAACACAACGTGTCTCAAGTTGAAATGGTCAGGATCCAAAAGGATTCATTGCCTACCACTCAAGCGATGGTGAACCAGGCCTATTTTTCACCCCGTTTTATGATTTATGGGGCATGCGGCATGCAAATGTTTGGTTCCCGGTTGCAGTGGCTATATACATCACCCACGAGTCAGCTCCACCCCCCTTCTTCACCGGTCTAACCGTCGCCTCGTAGATGAAGGCCCCTGCGAGGTGGAGCATGAAGAGGTTCCTGAAGAATGGAGGGTCAGTTTTGGAGCCCATCTATGGATCAAAATCTCATCAGATCTACTCTTCAGGCATGGTGTATCTCAAAGGCCTGAAGAACCTGACTATGTTGACTTCACCCTCTGGACCTCATTTGCTTCAACAGACTGCTATACTCTTCAAAAAAAAATGCACCTTCCCTCCACAATTGGTCTCCAAATCCCACCTCCAAAAACAAAGCGAAAACTGAACTATCAAAAATGAACCACCTGGGAATTGGATGGAATTGGCTCATCCTCGACCTCCGCTCCGGCGCCGGCCGGTGAAACCCCGGAAACACCGGCCAAGCGCGCTCCAAGGCGCGAGGCACACACGCCGGCCGACATCCGCGCCAAGGCCCTCAGTCCGGACCAAGACTCCTCGCCGGCCACGGGGCGGGCGGGGGCAACGGTTGATCCAAGCAGGATCGATCAGTGGAAACACCGTGGTTCGATCAGTGCAGGGCACCAAGAAAGGGGCAACATCGAATGGAAGTGGAGTGGAGTGAAGAGGGGCAAGAGATGCCACCTTTCCCACCGCCTCAACCACCTCAACCACCTACTTCCCACTTCCCACTTCGTGTCTGGATCTTCTCCTGTCGGTGCACACCAAGCCAGCCTTGCTTCAAGTGCACCAGCAGACCAAACCTCGCCGATCCAACGGTCGATCCACCGTATCGACGACCACCGGACGGTGGTCGTAATGGGCAGATGCAGACGGTGTTCTCCTGGACGGTGGACGGGGCCCGATTCTGATAGAGGGCAAAAGGAAATATACATCCAAATACACATAATACACTCCTTTTGGCTTAAATAGCCTCTCAGCTCGCACAAAATGATGCTTCGAACGAAAAAAGATGCTTAAGACTCATACTTCCATGAGACTCGCTGATGTTTCTCTTCCGGTCGACCTCCGTTTTTGGGTCGTGTGCTTCGCATCCGGACGGTGTGCTTCTTGGGCCGTCCGACACCAGCAGCAGCTCGTAGCAATGGCAGGGAAGCACCTCGGCAGTTGACTGAAATGACTGAGGGGGGTGGCGTCAGGTGCCAGTAAGGAGCAGTTCTTCGAACATCAAAAAGCACAAGAAAAAGCAACTTCAGTCGCCCGTTGCCACACCCATACCATCCAGGAGCCACGCATAGGATCGATTCGGCATGTGCATCAACTTCACCTCTGGCGAGAGAAGGACTCCTACCGGTGAAGAGTTCACGACTGACACCACCCGGGAAGTGGGAGTCCAGGGTATTTGCCGTGCGTTATGATTAGGAGGTGTTGGGGTGCTGGATGTCTGAATCATGATGCTGTTGGTGTTTCTTGCGCTGAGCATTCCGCACATTTGGGTTTTTTCTATCGAGTGTTGTCGGGTTGGTTAATCCAAATGATGTCCATTCTGAGCTCCCAACACGCACTTGCGGTCGGCATTTTTCCCGAGAAACCAAACGGAGCAGTCTGAGCAGGTGGATGTTTAGATCATCTGCCCCACTCAGAAAGCAAGAAAAATCACCCAACACCCAAAGGTCTGGCAGTCTGGGGAAACACTTCGGGCTTGTGAAAAGGTCGACGGCCAAGTAGGCCCATCCACCTGCTGAAACACCGAACGGACCACGAACTTTCACCAGCCTGCCCTATCGGCCGCCCCACATGGTCCAAGGTGCCCAGTCGGCCAAGGGTTGGAGCGCCGCTGGCCACTGGAAGTCGCTGTGGAGCATGCCATCCTCAACGAGTTGAGTCGATTCAGTCCCGAAGCGAGCGGGGTCGCCGATCGGTGGATGGAACGACAGCCCTTAAGCCTTTGGATTTGGATCAAGACATGGAATGGAGACTGAGAGTGGACGAGAGTAGTTGATCCCCAAATCAAGAAGCTTCTGAAAAGCGCAAGCTTGAACTGACCTGAGTCCAGTTAGCTATGCCACTTGAAGACTTGCCAAGTTAGTGGAACATCTGTGTTGGGGAACAGGCCTACACCGTTGAGTCAAGAAACCCCCACACCCTTTTCTATCGTCTAATTCAGACAACAGGGCCTACGTATATACAACAATGAATCTAGAGTCTACACTAGACTCTAAGCCCCCTACTAGAATGGCATTTACCATGCTTTAAGACACCTCCGATCACCCCCCCCATCGACAGTCCTGTAGACCGGACGCCAGGATTCCTGGCGGGCCGAGGCCCTGGCGTCCCAGGGGGACGATGCCAGGGTCATCGGACGGGAAGGGCGCGGAAGCTTTGAGGCGATCAAAGCCTGGTGGGTCGCAGGGAAATCATATGAAATCATGGCAGGTATAGAGCTCTGAAAGAGCTGTCAAAGCTCTTTCAGTTGCCCGGTAGAGGTAGATCTGAAAATGCTCGGATCTACCTGATGATGCCTGATGCCTGAGGCAAAATGTCAGGGGTGACCACGCCCCTGACGTGAAGGCGAGAAAGTTCAACATAGGAATGGAGAAGAACGAATCTTCAAGAGGAAGCTGTATGTCCTATTGCATCACCATGAAGGTATACAACAGATCCTATCTAAAAGACACAATGCAACACCATCATCAAATTGCTTGACCGCGCCACCAGTCGTATGAAAAACCGCTCGGCTCGCAGTACCTGCGATGGCCAAGGTCGCGAGGCAGCGCATCCGCCCGCGGCGCGGCGCATGCGGCAGCTCGGGCTTGGGCAGCCTCGCCGGGGACGTGGGAAGACTCGGCAGTTGCAAAGGAGTGGGTCATGGGCACCCCTACCCTCCAAGCTAAGGCCTAAGCATCGAATGGGCTATATGGCTATATAATCCGTGAATTCAATGATGTTCTTTGGGGCAAAATAGAGGGGTCAGTTTGGTACTATACCATATACCTATCGGTTGTACGCTTGGGCCAACCAATATCGTCAAAGGCCATCTACAGTATGAGCTCATATGGTTGGAAAAAGCAGACTCACTCCCAGGACTCCGAGTTCCAAAACCCCAAGAAGAAGAAGAAGAAGAACCCTGAGAGTCTGAGAGTTTTCACTCGTTACAAAAATATACAAAAATGCCTTCCGCCCCCGAACTCGTGGATGTTCTGCTCGGACCCCCGGGCCACCACGAGATGGCCAAGGTTGCCATGGCGGAGGGCCTCGGCAAGAGAGGGAGCTGCCCAGGTGGCGACCAGGTGGCCGCGGGCGGGGGGTGGTCACTGGGGTGGTCTGATGCAGGCTGATGGTCCGGTTTCTGTTGAGAGGGAGGGGAGAATGATTGGGGAGTTGGTTCTCTTTTTGTTAAAGGCTGTTGTTCTCGGATGGCGTTTCTTTCCGGGGGCACGGACGCCTTCCTCGTTGAGTTCTGGTTTCGGGCTGTATCCATGTCCTCTCTGCCCCTTCTTTCAATGCCATGGTGACATGGTGATGATGAAAACTATTTCCTGTGGAAATGTGCCATAATGACACAAGCAGCTAACGGCTACCTGCAGATCCTTTCAAACGATTTGCATCGATTTGCGGAGTCATCAGTAGAAACCGCCCAAACACCACGGTACCTATGCCTAGATCTTCCAACTCTGCAAAACAGTTGCCTGTTCAAAGACCCAGCACAACAAGATGTTTAAATGTTGCATGGTTACTGGTTAGAAGACTTACCGTAGGTATCGTAGGTATAATATACACTGCAAAAAACGTGTGCTGAGAGAGTGCAGCTCTCAAACGATGCTCTCCGACCGTTTGCTCGTCTCCTCCACTCGTGGCTCGTCCGAGACCGGCAGACCCCCCAGGCTTCCCAGCAACAAGGATGCGAAGGTGTGGCAGGTGTCATTGAAGGAGGCCTCTCTGAGAGGCGGAAAAACAGGCGGGCAACGTCTGTCTGGAACTCTCCCAGCACTACTCGCTTCTCGTGTGGACAATTGGTTCCTAGTTCGATGTGCGAGGACTTCGATGCCAAAACGCGCAGCTCGAGAGATCGCTCACGTACCTCGGGAATCGGGCTCATCTGCTGGTAGCTCATGGCCACCGCCAACACCTGGCAGAAGTCGCCCAGGTCATGTGGATCCAACGTCTATCACAGATCTTGGCCCTTTTTTAGAGGCCAAGGCCTGTGGAAAGGAGGAAAACCAGACCCAAGCAACCAGGCAATTTGGCTGTCTGGCCCCGTGTGGCTGGCTGCTATCTTTAAATCCGATATCTTCCAGTCAATTGTTACACCACCAGGGGTGGCTGGTCTCTGTCCACTCACCCCAGCGCCCAACTCCCCCAAACAGGTCGCGCCAGGCCCAGAGGAGATGCGCCAGCTGCGCCGCTCGCGCCCGACCTGGGGTGCGAGAATCGGGCCGGTGCATCTGGAAAACCCGGCAGGAGGGATGTGTCCAACAAAACAAGAGGTGCCCAGATTTCTTGAAACCCGCGACGGTGAGTGGATCATGGATGGATCATGGATGGATCATGGATGGATCATGGACAGCACATGACACCCCTACCCTCCAAGAGGTATTTTCTTGGAACTGCTGGTATCATTCTCTATCAATTCCAGCTGTCTATCTATCCACAAACACATGTTGAAGCACAGTGCCTCTGCTTCAACTGCCCGAGCCCACATACAAAGACCTTGCTCTGCATGGAGCCGGAATATCCCAGAATCCCAGCGACCACTTTTGGGCGCCTCTTCTAGACATAGAAATCGTGTGTATGTGTGCATGTGTGTGCTTGGTTTGCCCCTCTCCTATTTCCATGTCACACACCCAAAAAGACACCGAACCGGGCCCGCACGCAAAATATTCCGCATCTGCCCGCCACCTCCAAACCCCCGTCCCAGTGGCCCAAGGCAGAGAGCAATCCGAAGACCACTAAGTCCACCTGAAATAGACCTCGGAGGGCCGTTGGCGCAGCTCGCTCCACCGTTGAATGATGGCTGGGGTCCTGGGAGGTCCACTCGGTCGCTCGCACCGTGGCGGTGGGCGTGCCGGACGTGGCCTATGGTAGGTGCTCAAAGCAACTGGGAACACGGTGGATAATGTCGCCCCACCTGGTGCGGCATGGTCCAATTCCCAAAGATAATAGAACACCAAAGCACTGGAGGAAGACATCTTTTACAGTATAGATCGTGATTATCACCATCCTGCCCTCCTTTTGGCGCAGTTCACACCCTCATGCCAGCGCCAGACCGTCGTGTTGACCGCCGGCTCGCTGGTGAGGGGTCGCAGCATCCCGGGTCCAAGCTACTTGAACCAAGTTCACTCGTGCCACGCGCCGCTTGGCGGCAGAACGTCTCACTGCGGCCACGCCGCGTAAGCTTACGCGCGGGTCTAAGACCCATCGGAATCTAAAAAAGTTCCAATGGGAACCATGACAGACCCATCAATTGGGTTTGAGCAGTCAAGAAAAAGATTCTGGGCAACTGCGCTCAGTTGATACCCATTGGGTTTTCCTTAGATGGACAGTTTCTCGGCCTCTCAGCCTGGCAAAAAAGAACATCCTTTGTCGACTCTAATCCTCGATGGGGCGACGGTGAAGGTGTCGATCACGGGGGCTCAAGTGTGTTCCTGGGGCGGGGCGTGTGGCGCTTTTTGCAGCGAAATGATGTGATGTCCTAGACTCAACCCAACTAACACATCCAAACATTGCCTCAACTAATTCACCAGTGATTTCACTCTAGAGGTGTGTCGGAAAGGGGTCTGCAATATAGAACAAAACTTTGTCTTCGCCGTCCCATACAAGGTGCTGCATGCACCGCGTGCATCACAAGAGACCATTGACGCTTGCGATCTGGAGCATCTTCCTCCTGTGATACAACTTGGCAATACAAGTCCCTGTTTTAGATCTCACCGCATCATCAGAAAAAGTATACGGAAACATGGACACAGACAGACAGCCAGCCAGCCAGCCAGCCCGCCAGCCCGCCAGCCCGCCAGCCAGGCAGCCGCCAGGCAGCCGCCAGGCAGCCACCAGGAGCAAAAATAAATGAAGGACACATTATTTTTGCTTGCGGTCAGCCTGGTCACATCTGGGCCCCTTAGGCAGCCGCCAGGCAGCCGCCAGGCAGCCGCCAGGCAGCCCCCAGGCAGCCCCCAGGCAGCCACCAGGCAGCCCCCAGGCAGCCACCAGGCAGCCACCAGGCAGCCAGCAGGCAGCCACCAGGCAGCCAGCAGGCAGCCAGCAGGCAGTCAGCAGGCAGCCAGCCAGCCAACCAGGCAGGCAGCCAGCCAACCAGGCAGCCAGCCAACCAGGCAGCCAGCCAGGCAGGCAGCCAGCCAGGCAGGCAGCCGCCAGGCAGGCAGCCGCCAGGCAGGCAGGCAGCCAGGCAGGCAGCCAGGCAGGCAGGCAGCCAGGCAGGCAGCCAAGCAGGCAGCCAGGCAGGCAGCCAGCCAGGCAGCCAGCCAGCCAGGCAGCCAGCCAGCCAGCCAGGCAGCCAGCAGCCAGCCAGGCAGGCAGGCAGCCAGCCAGCCAGCCAGCCAGGCAGCCAGGCAGCCAGGCAGCCAGGCAGCCAGGCAGCCAGGCAGGCAGGCAGGCAGACAGCCAGACAGCCAGACAGCCAGAGAGAGAGAGAGAGACAGAGCGCGCGCGCGCGATACTGGCGATTGCCGTGGCAAGGCGGGTCATAAAGGTTTTTGATTCCGGGTCAAAAACGTTTCCCAAATATATTCGAAACCGTCCAGATCGCCTAGCTGCTATCACACAAGCGGGAAGCGACTGAGGAGCCACGGCGCCAGAGGGTCAAACATGGTCAAACAACCAAATCCAGCCAGTGCCAGCCACCAAAAACGATAGATTTCAGTCACTAACCAAGTGGAAGACCCCAAAGGCGCCTTGGCATTCCATTTAAAATGGGTGTCGCCTGGACTGGCCTTGCCTCTGACAGTGTCACTGTCAGGCTACGCATGGCAGTTGGGGTCCCTCTCGAACTACTCTGAAAGCTCTCTGCCCACCAGTCACGTTGTTCGAATCAGCGTTCGAGCACAACTGCTGAGTGAATCGGTGTGCAAAGCCTTGAAGACATATCAAGATATGACATTACCATGGTAAAGCTTCGAGCAGAAGTCTCTCTAGCCGCAATGGACGTGTCACACGTGTGGGACAAGGGACATCGCAGCTAGGCCAGGAGGAATCGGGACTTGGCGCCTCAGAGATGATTGGCGGTGAAACGAAAAGAAATCTTAGCAAATCCTGGAGACGGTGACAAAACCACCCCCGGTGTTCTTTGCAAGTCCTTGGCTTTGCGGATTTTTTCTATTTGAATTCTCGTTGCCTGATGGTGGTTGTGTTATGTAATTTCAATTTTCTTTCAAGGCTGGCAAAAAAGCACAAAGAAAAGTCAGGAAACCTGAACTTGCTCCGGGACTTGCTCTGGAACCTCGGACTGCCCCAAAACCTCCAGAAGCTTTGCTGTGAAGAAGAAGGAACCATCTTGGGCTTTATCATGCTTCATCCAATACTTAAAGACAACAGGAACTCCAACATGGTAGATTTGGGCATGTTCTTCCAAGCAGAAGAAGCTTACCGATACCACAGGCGCTCATCAACCCCTCCTAAATCACCCTTGTCCAGTCAATGGCGGTTTCCACACCATCGGCCTTCACCTTAACCCCCCTCCTTCCATGGCCCAGTCGCCCTTTGACCCCGTCGGGCTGGGAGAGCTCAGGGTGGCCGGACTCGCCATGGGCCCCTCGCGCGCCAATGCATCGGAGATGGGCGAGTCAAGCAGCTGGGGAGCCCAGGCGGTGTCGGTCCACTCACCTCCACTGCCCGCAAAATGATTCCACCACGAACGCCCCCAAGGGGCCCCGTCCCTTCTGGACGGATGCTGGAAAGGTGTGTTGTTTGGGGGGAACTTGGGCCTTCATCCTTGTATCACCTTCAGACCATTTGGGTTCATCCATCTTCATCCACTTCCATCCCTCCGAACGGACGAGACCTTCGGAACGCCAATGAAGGCCACCCCCAGCTAGTAACCCCCATGCCTCGTCGCGGGGCAAGCTCACCATGCTGCTCGTGGCCTCAGCGCGGGGGAAGGTGAGGGACACCGGGGCGTTTGGAGAAAGGCCCCGGCTTGAAAGCTCGAGCGTGCAAAAGAACCTGTTTGATGCAAGAACGTGCAAGAACCACACCGCACACGGAAAGGTGAACTAACAGTCAAAGGGCATAGCTCCTATGATCTCCTATGTATTTTAGTTAGTGAGGCACTCTAGAGTCTAGGAGGAGTCATAAGGCCTCAAATGCCAGTGAAACTCTTAGAGAAACAACGTGTAGGTTTGGCGAACCAACAGTGTATGAGTGTATCAAGCAAAAGAGGTTGGGGATGGTGAGACAGAATATGACTAACTCTGACTAGTTGTGATGCCTTTTTGCCGGACAAAAATGACCTTCTTAGCCTTGTTGGAGTGTCCAAGCATTTCCGGACCCAGATCCCCTCCACCCAGGAGCCAGACTGGTCACGTAAGACCCAAGACCAGGGTGCACTTGAGGTTGTTCCCCGACGCAGTTGGATCTTCTTTGAAGATTCATCCATTGGCCAATGCAAAGGGACGGCTTTCTGGGTGGAGGAAACACGCCCAAAGTGATGCCCTTGTTACCAGTAGCTTCTTGCTACTGCTACTAGTAGTAGATAATGCCCTTGTTACTTATAGCGATGCCCTTGTTACACCCAAGCTACGCCTCTCTTCCTTCACCCAAGAGACGCTGGTGATGGCACTGCTCGGAGACTGACGCGGGCCTCCGCCGGCGAGGACGCCGCGCTGTAGGACGACGTGTGGCTACCAGAAGTCCTGCTGTGGGATGTACCTACTTGGATTTCTCTTGTGTTGATGAAACTCTGGCTGGACATAGAGTGGTCCTTTTAAGGGGTGAACCGCAGTGTGAATTAGTCTAGCAATTCCTCTTGTCTGTCACGTGGAGAAAGAGTTACTTCGTAGTGGTGCAGAGTTTGCTGCGAAAAGAATGATGAAAGACAAAGGGTTTAGGTCTCACTCACTCATGCCAAGATCCTTAGATCCTTCGTTCTCTTCGTTCTACCCGGATCCAGCTCGAAAGGGGTGGAGACCCGGGTCTGGTCCGGTCGCGCCTGCATGCGCCTCCGTGAACTTCAACATGGCCAAGCTCCGGTTGTAGCTAAACCTTTGGCGGCTTCTGCGTTCATTGGGGGGTTCCGCTCGTTCTTGGGGCTTTCGTTTCCTGTGCGGATTCGTTCGTTCGTCGAGTTCATCGGGAATTCCAAAGAATCCGCTCACAGAGCAAAGGCTCATGAAGGTTACGGTTTTTGGTGTTCCCTTTGGACATGTGGGTCGTTCGATGCATTGTCTTGGATGTGGGTCGTTCGTCGGCTCATCTCGACAACTCTCCAAGAGGCTTCTCTTCGCGGCTGTCTCTTCTCTCCTAGCGCGCGGGTTGGGACCCGAGAAACAAACCATAACAAACCCAAATTAGATTGGGATTGGATCAAAACCAGGCGACCCTGGTTGACCACACATGTTTGGACCATCCAGAAAGCCAAGGGCGGCCGCAATATCATAAGCTTTCCGAAGTGAGCAAGTCTATCCACTTTGGTCTGGCAACAACAAAAAGGGTGCCGTTTTGGGTGTCCCAGACTCTTGCTCTATCCGAGTACGTAACTTCACACGTGACCAAATTTTAACGACTCGTCCAAACCGGCGCGTCCAGGCGCGTCCAGGGAAAGAGAAACCACCGTACCACCTCAAGTGCTCGGTCATCAAGAGAGAAATTCCTCCGACTCACTAGGATTCTAAGCGGAAAGTGGTCTTCCACAGGGTCCAGCCAGTTTCACTTCTAAGCTCCCTGTTTCAGCCACCAAAGACGGGTCTCCGGAAGCTTCTCCGTCGAGATGCCACGCGCACCTGGACATCATGGCGGCATC